TGCCCCCGTGGCGTCCCCACCCGCGCCGCCTGCGGCTGCCGAGGCGGCCGCCCCGTCCCGCGGCTTGGACGAGTGGGCGAACGGCAACGACCCCTGGACCAGAGGTCGTGCTGCGGATTGGGCTGGACGCCAGCGCGACCAGACATCCGACGCTCGCTCAGCAGCCCGGGCTTTGTGGGACGCAGCAGGTGCAGACAGTGGATGGATCGACCAGTCCAACGGCCAGGGCTGGAGCGATGACACGCAGCGCTGGCGCAGCGACAATTGGAACGACGACGACAAGCAGCGCTGGCGCCCCAACGACGAGGACAGGTCATGGTGGTCGTCGGGCGGATATACGAAAGGAGACTACAGCGACCCGCCAGCCTGGCCTGGTTGGCAGCACTACCGGACACGGAAGAAGGCGATGCAGAGATGGGACCGGCATACGGACGTGCCGACCTACAAGCGGCACGAGAAGTTCATGAAGCTGTTCACGTCGACGATGCAGTCCTCGTTCGAAGAAATTCCAGAGAGCGACCTAGAGAGCAAGTCCTGGCTCAGCTTCCTGCTTGCCCTTTTTCGACAGGATGGCAGGCGAGCGAGAGGGCGACGAGGTCAGGCGCACTGTGCGCAGGGCATTGTTCGAGTGCCAGCAAGAAACAAAAACACTCCAGGCCTTCGTCGATGGCCGCGGGAGGCAGTTCCGCGAGGCCGAAGGCAACGACCTCTGGATCTCGGACAAGCTCAAGGGTTTCATGATGGAAGAGGGCCTCGTTATCACCGCAGGGGATGCAGAACATGAGGGCCCTCGCTCGCGGCGACCTCGAGTACAAGAGTGTATGCTGGGCGAATCGGCAGCTGGAATTCACCGCGTCTGAGCGGCTGCTGCCCGGCCGTAGTGCTGGCAGTTGCGCCGATGGTCCAGAAGCGACCAGCGGCGCTCCAGATCCCTCCTCTTCTGCCTTCCCCCACTCCACGCAGGAACAAGGCTGGGCCGAGGACGACGGTGCCGGGCCCGAGGGTGGCGACGAACAGTCCGACGAGGACTCTGACGACACCGAAGTGATGTCGCAGGACGAGATCAACGCCGCGTTGCTGGACATATCAGAACTGGATGTCGACGAGGACGGCGTCGAGAGCTATTTGGCGGGCCTGAAGGGGCGAACCTGGAAGGGATCTCAAGCGGGCGGCCAAGGAAGACAGGGGGTGCTACCGCGGCCCAAACAGAGACGGGCCTTCCGGCTCCAGCGGCCAACGACCGCCGCTCCGCCTCGAGGTCTTTTCGAGCGTGGCCGGGGCTGGGGCAGAGGCCGAGGCAGCGGCCGCAGGTTCGACGGCCTTCCCGTCGAAGAGGTCAGAAAGGTCACTACGTGTTCTCGGGCTGTGTGGCGCCGCCCGCCGACGACGTCCTGGCCTCGCCCTGGGAGCTCCAGGGCCAGGTCGCCGAGATCTATCTGACCACTCGGCCGACACGAGGCCTGGTGGACCCAGGCGCGGGCAGCGACCTCGTAGGGCTGGCTGCCTTCAACCGAGAGGCGCTGGCGCTCGGCGACCTCGGGGTGACGTTCGTGGTGGTGCCACCCGGGGGGGGGTCGCCGATCCGACCTGCCCACGGGGTTGGCGGCCAGGCCAAGATCGTGGGCTCGATCCTGTTTCCACTGGCGTTGGGAGGTGTTCCTTGGGTTTTGGAGACCGCGTTGCTCCTGAAGGACGTGCCGCGCATCATCAGTGTGAACTCTCTGGACATCCTGGGGCGCGTCATCGATCTGCCGAAGAACCTCGTGAAGGTCGCCAGGCTCGACGCCGAGGTGCCGCTCCACAAGCTGTCGTCCGGGCGCAGGGTGGCAGACGTCGTGCGCCCGCTGCCCCAGCCCGTGCGAGTGCCGCCGCAGGCGCTCCAGAAGTTTCCCCGTCTGCGGCCATATTCTTTCTGCCTTGCCGAGGGCGGGCGCCCTCTCGAGATGGCCGGGGGTGGCTCGGTATGCGCAGTGGGGAAGTGCATGTCCCGCCTCCTTCCATCCTTATTATCCTTATTTATAATCTCGGGGCCGCCGTGGGAGGTGGCCTCAGAAGAGGCGCAAGCGGGGCCTACTGCGTCGTAGAGGACCTTGTCGGGAGCCTAGGGGCCATGTGCGCGATTAGCGGGGTCCTCCTCCTCATCGTGGGTCGGGTCCAGAGCGGCTGGGGCGCCCTCGGGGGCCGCGAATGCGAGATCTCGGGCGTCAGAGGTTGCCAGCCAGTCGCGTTGCAGTCGCGAGGTCACAGGTTCCCTGGATCGGATAGGCCTCGCCCCATTCTGTGCAGGGCGATCCCCGATCCACTAGGGTTCAGGGCAGACGTTGGCGGGGCCCCGAGACCGACGGGGCAGCGTGTCTGGCGACGCCTGTCTCGATGGCTCTCAGCGTGGCCGACGAGACCCCGCCGCCCTGGCCTCCGAGTCGAGAGTCCTGGCCCGAGCCCATGGAGGTGGAGGCGCCGGTGCTGTCGCCGGGGGGCGGCCCGCAGGCCGCGGCGGCAGCAGCGACGGGCCAGGGGCAGCAGGCCGCGCCAGCAGCCGGGCAGGGGCCGCCGGCAGCCCCACTCGCGGGAGATCGCGTCAGCGGCCTACGCCCTCCGTACAATCCACCTCCGGGGCCGCGGGCGACGGGCAGCCGCGGTCGCCAGCCCGGCGCGGCCGACGCCGCGGAGGCGATCGTGGCAGACCGTCAGCGCCAGGTGGGGATGGCAGCGCTACTTGTCAAGCCGCCACCGCCGACTCTCAAGGCAGCGCAGACGGCAGGGCCAGCAGGGGCGCCGCCCGAGGCGATCGTGGCGTACCTGCCGGACGGGGCCCCAGTCGTCAGCCAAGCCTACATGGGCGCGCTGGCACGCGGAGCGCCGCGACGCGGCCTCGTGCCGGCGTGTCCTGGACCTTCGAAGCCTCGGCCGGAGGTTCCGCTGCCGGGACAGGCGGCTGCCGAGACCCTTCCGGCGTCGGCCAGCTCGTCATCATCGGCGACGACGACAACTCCCCAGACAGCGACGGTTGAGCCCTGTTCTCGCTCGCGCTGGATGCAGATGTATACGGGGGTCCGCGCGGACGCGGCAGCCGATGCATGGATTGCGGAGAGTGCATCGCGTGGATTCCCAAGGCCCCCGCCGGGGCCAACCAGAACGGCAGGGCCGCTGGGGGCGACGGGCAGTTCGGCTGCGGCGGCTCGGCTCGCCGGGCAGCAGACTCAACCGAGCGGGCAGTGGAGTTGCTGGAGGCACAGGGAGTCGTTCCAGGAGCAGCCACCTTGAACGCGGTCAACCACGCCGAGCAGTTGCTGCAGACCGTGTCCGCTCAGCTCCAGGAGTTGCCTCACGGACTGGAAAGCCTCGGACGCATGTGGGGCGCGCTCAACCGCATGTACGAGCAGGTGCCCATTCTCCAAGCGCAGCCGAACTCGTCGTCCGAGGCTTGCCAGCAGGTGCTCCAGGGGGCGACCCAGACTCGGCGCATGTTGGAAGGGGCGCTCGAGCCGCTGGGTGACTCGATCGACCGGGTTGGAGGGGGCGTCGCGAATCTGGCGGCTCAGGTCACCAACCTCGAAGTTCGAAGGCCAGGTGAACCAGATCGGGCAGATGGTCATGCAGATCTCCATGCAGGTGGCCGGGCTGTGCCGGGCGGTGGGACAGACGGGTGCAGGCTCGTCGGCGGCAGGAACGGCGCCCCCGGCATCGCCGTCGCAGACGGCCGCTCCAACCATACCTGGTTGGGAGGTGCTCAGCAGGATCCCGGAGGGCGCCCCGTCGCGCTTGGACGGCAGTTCCTGAGCGCAGTGAGTGATATAGACACCTCAATGACCTCACCCCCGCCTCCTTCTGTGCCTCCTCTCCCGTCTCCGTGCGTGTCCGAACCCGAGCGTCGCGCCCGGGCCATGGCGCCCGACCTTCCTTCCCAGCCCAGCTGGCTGTAGTTTGGGCTTCCCCGTGCGAAGGCTGGGAACCCGTCGATGTCAGGCGTGGAGCTGGGCCAATGGCTCGATGGCGATCTGTTCAATGACGACCGAGAAGTGACCCTTCCCTGGAGAGTTCGAGATTGTCTCGTAGTTTTCACATCTGACCAGGGGGGCCCAGAGGTCTAATCAGGGGGTGGCGCGGCGTGCGTCGCGACGGCGGGCGGAAGAGCTCAGGGGGCCCTGTCGGGCCGCCAGGGCCGAAGCCGGACGGCGTTTGTTGGGATTTTCTGTCCCCCTCGTTTCGTCCCTGAGCTGGCAAAGAGAGGGGTCACGGTTCCATCTAGGGCGGATTTTGGTCGATACCTCGGTTGGGGTCCTCGTGGGCCCGAGTCGGTCCGTGCGCTGCGCAGACCCTCGAGCGGGATCGACCCCAGGTGGCGTGGCTCTGTCCAGAGTGCAGGGCTTTCTCTCTTCTCCAGAGCATCGACCGGGATCAGATGGGCCCCGAGGGATGCAGGATCATGATGGCCGAGGGTTTCAGCGTTGGTTCTGTGCGTCGAAGTGGCTCTGTATCAGTCTCGCCGCGGGCGATATTTCGCGTTTGGGCATCCGTGGGTTGCCGCGTCACGGGGCTCTGAGGCCATGGGGTTGGCGGCTCAGTTTCCGGGGGCGCGCGAGCTAAGGATCGATGTGTGCTCGTTCGACCTCCAGGTCCATTCAGACAGTTTGAGCAGGAAGTTTACTGGGGTCCCAACCAATCACCCGGGGATCCAGCAGGCGATGAGGGGTCACATCTGCCTCGGAGGTCATCGCCATGTAATACTAGAGAACCAGCTTCCTCGAAAGGCCCAGGTTTACCCCCCCAAGTTCGTTCGCGCCGTGGTCCGCGCGGTGGCAGATACCTGGAACGGGATTCCCCCTCCTCGGTCGGTCTCATCAAAGGACATGTTGGAGGGTTCGTGCTGCTCGGGGCCCTCGCCTGTCCTGCCATCGTCCGTCTGGAGCTGTCCGACGTCGGCGAGGCAGATGGGGGGCGGCTCGGACAGCGACCCTGACGTGCCCGAGACCAGGCAGAGCAGGGCGACGGCCCCCCAGGCCGAGGCCGGAGCCCAGGCCTCCGAGGAAGAGCAGAGGCTGGTAAGTAAGTTGCACATTCACATTGGCCGCCCCGAAAATTGCAAGTTCATGCGTGTTCTCAGGGCCGGGGGAACTAAGCATCGCATCCTCCGATGGATCGGAGATTGTTTCAGGTGCCCCGAAAGTGCCGAACGCCGGGGGCCCGACAATCACAGGCGAGTGGCGTTGCCTCGGACCTTCCGGTTTAATCGCATCCTGGGGGCCGACTTGTTCTTTCTTCGTTTCGGGGGAGAGGCTCGCCCGTTCTTGACTTTGGTGGGCCACGGGTCGAACCTCCAGGTATGTGTGCGGCTGCGAGATGCCAAGGCCGCTATTGCTTGGCATGCGTTGGTCCAAGCCTGGATCAGGCCGTTCGGGGATCCCCACTTTATGATTGCCGATGGGGGAGCTGAGTTTCAGGGGCGTTTCGGGGGAGGTCTGGAACGATGGGGGTTCTCCACCACGTCACAGACGCCAATGGCCCTTGGCAGAACGGACGGGTGGAGAGACACGGGGGATGGGTGAAAGAGCGGGCCCGTGCCGAGCTGGACTCAGGCTCGGACCTTCCGGCCCCCCTGGAACTGAACACCTTGGTCCACGAGCTAGTTATCGATTCTAGCATCGGCGAAGGTTCTCGCCACTCCAGCTGGTGTTTGGCGAGAACCCGAGGTTGCCGCAGGAGCTGCTGTCAGACGATGGAATGGGGTTGCCAGGGTGGCAGGGTGTCGTGAGAGGGTCCTCGGACCAGGATGATGCCACCGGCGCCGAGTTCGCGAGGGCTCATCGGGTGCGAGAGCGAGCGGAGCAGTTGGCGATCGAGGCGAGCGCTCGTGATCATATCCAGAACGCCTCTCGTGCCAGGGGGCCCCCTTCCAGGGTCCAGGACAGCGGGTGTTTGTGGAGGCGGATGGCCAGGGCCACCGCTCGATCCGAGAGCTTGGGGGTGCGTCGGGGAGCCTGGGCTGGGCCAGGCATTGTTGTGCTCCAGGAAGGGGGAACAGTGTGGGTTGCGATGAGAGGTCGTTTCTGGAAATGCTCCATGGGCCAGGTCAGACCAGCTAGCCCGGAGGAGTGCGGGCTGCAACTGGCCCATGGCCCGCAGTGGAGCGAGCTGCTGGAGCAAGCGCGGCACGGTCGCGCGACGGCGCTGGACGTCCAGCGGGAGGGGATGCCTCCCGAGGAAGCCTGGGATCGGCCGCTGGCGGCCGAAGGGGATCCGGCTCCGAGGGTGCTCGGGATTCCGGTCGGGCCTCCAGAGGCTTCCAACGGATCCGTCTTGGGCCTGGGGCCGTCGTCCGGTTCCGTCGACCCAGGTCCCCCGGCTCTGGCGAGGACGTTTGGAGCGCGAGCCCGCGGAGGGTCTCGCCCCCATTCCGCGGCGCCCCCGAACGTGGCTCAGCCATCCACTCGTTTGCCGTCCACTGCTGAGAGCGAGTCAGGAGCGAGTGCGCGTCAAGTATCGGGCGATGCCGCTTCTCAGGAAGGTCCGCGACTGGCGCTCGAGGAGACCCGGGTGCTTGGCCCGACAGACAGCGATCCGAGGCCACAGCTGGGCGAAGCTCGAAAAGCCGAGGAGTCGCCACCGCTGGGCGAGGCTCGAGCGGAGAAGCAGAACTCCGAGGTTCCCCCACCTCCCCTGAGACCTCGGGCGAAGCTCGAGCAGCCCTTGGACGTGCCCGCCTGTGTCTTCCGGAGGCGAACATCCATGGGCGCGGCTGAGGGCCGCGAGGATAGTCGGGGGCATCGGAGCCCAAGAAGCCCAGGATCGATCCTCCTCCTGGCCTTCGGGTCCCGGCTCCGGGTCCGGGCAGCCTCCGCCCCCTGCCCTGTTTCATCCGCCTGCCCCGCGCGCTCCCTCCTCCTTGCCTCCGGCCGCCTCCAGTGCGACGCCGTCGCCGGACCTTAAGTGGCGCGAGGCCGATGACCGGAGGGCCCCGGAGTGTCCCAGAGCGAGTCCAGGACATTGAGGATCAGATAGCCGCCAGGGCCGAGCGAGAGAGGTCTCTCCGACGTGACACAGGCGCCGGCAGCTCAGAGCATCGCAGAGAGAAGGGGGTGGTCTTTGTCATGTCTCGCGTGCGCCGAACCGTCCGGGGGGGTGCGAGTGGAGCTGTATCAGGAAGACGCCCCCCCCCTCTGCCCCAGAGCGAGGTTTGGCGCGCTGCGGGGGGATCGTCTAATTGCGAACGCGACGCGGAGATCTTCGCTGCCAGCCGAGGGGGGGGGGGGGATTTTTGGTCCAAGGTCACTTCCGTTGAAAGGGCCAAGTTTGAGATCTCCGAGGGGGTCGAGTGGGCAAACGTGGAGGGTTCTGGGGCCGCGCGCGTCATCCCCCCAAGAAAGCGAAGATATTTCATGAGATGCAGCCCGAGAGGATAATCTCGTCTCGCATGGTTCGCCGATGGAAACCTCAGGAGGGGGCTTGCGGGGCCGACGGCAAAACCTAGGTGGTGCGTCCGCGGCCATCAGGACCCCGACACAGGTGCCCTCGCAGTCGTTGCGCCGACTCCTCAGTCTGCATCCCTGATGATGTTCGCACAGGTTCCGATGAACCACGGCATGTACGGATACATAGCCGACGTGAGAAATGCTTCCAGTCAGTCGAATCCGATGAAGCGAGAAGGCGGGCCCATATGCGTCGAGCCCTGCCACGGAGTTCGGGTCGAAGAGGGAGCTCTTGTCGAGCTCCTCGTAAATGTGCACGGCCTGGGCGATGCTCCTGTTGCGTGGCGAAAGACCGTGATTCAGTTTCTCTCCGACCACGGGTGTGCGATGTCCCTGTTAGAGCCCTGCTGGTGGTTGAAGCACACCAGAGAGGACGGTTACGAGAGCATGATAGTACTTGAAGTCGATGACTTCTTCATTGCTTCGTCGACTCCCGAGGTCAGGCAGCAGGGGCGGGTGATGATGGAGTCTAGTTTCCGGTGGGACCTGCGCGCGTCGCCGGTGGACTGCGCCGGTCGTAGGATTACGTGGGCCCCCCAGCGCATCGCGGGTTGACCAGGAAAAATACATCCTGGAAGAATTCAGGCCCCTCAGCATGGCCCCCGGGAGGCGCGGTAGAAAGGGCGCCCTGTTGGGCCGAAGGAGTTCAAAGCCTTGAGATCCCTCATGTACAAGCTGAACTGGGTAGGTCGGGAGACGCACCCCGCGGCTTCGGGGGTGGCGAGTATTCTTGCGTCGAGGTTGAGACAGGCGACTTCTTGGGGCGTCTCGTGCGCCAACAAGTAAGTTAGCGCGCCATCTGAGAAGCGCGGCCTCGAGAGGCCTGTCGGCGTGGCGCCTCGACCCTCTCAGGGTGGCTTTCGTCGCCTTCTCGGACGCGGGAGGGGCGGGGGCCAGCGCCCGCGGGTTCGACTCCCATGGGCTCCCAGAGGACCCGACCCAAGGGGCCTGGATGGTGTTGGCTACCGATCAGAGTGTGCTGCAGAATCGCAAGGTACGGGCGTCGATCTTCGGGTGGAATTCGTCGAAGCTCAAAAGGAAGGTCCCCTCCGCCCTCGCAGGCGAAACGCTGGCCCGCGCATCGGCAGCGTCAGAGGTCGAGTGCATGCAAGTGCTGTGCAGAGACGCTGTTTTCCAGGATGTAGATGTTCCAGAGTGTTCGAGAGCTGCAGAGCCATCTACCATTGTCCTCCGAGAGAACTGCAGACTCGTACATCGAGAGCGACAGATCCATGTATTTGATGCCGAGAGTATTCACGGCGCGACGACAAAGGATGGGACGGCGAGTGCGAAGGATCGGAGGACGGCTTTGGATTTGGCGATCATCTGCGAGTCTCTCGAGATCGATCGAAAAGGGGGTCGTGAGGTGGGTGCCGCGCTCTAGGATGCCGGTCGATCCCCTCGCAAAGGGCGATGTTACCAAAGTGAACGCCGCCTTGTTTGACTTGATGGCGTCCTGCCGACTACTGTTGGTGGATGAGGAACGAGAGCTGGTCGGCAGGCGCGAGGATCCTTCCCAGAAGGCGAGATCGCAGGCGGCATCCCTCAGGCGTCCATCAGTTGGACGTCATTCGTGTCCGAGTCTGGTGCCGCGTCCGACGGCTCCGGCCCGTTCCAGTGATCTCTTCTCTTTCCTTTTCCTCTCCTAAGATGTGCGTGTGTGCTGGCGTGCAGCGCGGGAACACAGGGGCAGCTGACAATCGACAAGCCCGTGTGCTGACGCGTGTTTTCCACGCGCTTGGGCCAGCAAAATCTACAAGAAAGGTTGACCAGTGTGATTGCGTGGCACAATTTCGTGAATAGGTTTAGCTTCTAGTTTCCTTGACCCGGGCCCAGGGGATTGGGCCCTTTCTGGTACCTGTACGCCATGCTGGCTCAAGTCCAATACTATTTGCTGTTGCTCTTGCTGTCACAGCCGACGATCATTATGTTGATGATGACGATGCTGGTGGTTGTGATGTTGATGCGGCTGATGATGAAGGTGATAATGAGTATGCTGTTCATGATGCTGATGCTGATGTTGATGATCTTGCTGCTGCTGATGATTTTCATTGTGATCCTGACGACGATACTCATGATGATGCTGATGATGCTGATGACGACCACTACGAGGATGACAATGACTATGGCGACGATAGTGATATTGCTGATGATGCTACCGATGATGATGCTGATGATGATAATGTTGTGGTTTTTGTTGATGTTGTTGTTACTGTAGCTGTAGTTTGAGTTGTAATTATATTGGTTGTCGTTGTTGCTGTTGGTGTTGTTGCTGATGTTGTTGGTGATGATAACTCGTTGTTGGTGTCGTAGTAGCAATAGCACTAGTAGCATTCGTATCATTATTGTTATTTTTGGTAGTAGTAGTAGTAGTAGTAGTCGTAGTAGTAGTAGTAGTAGTAATGGTAGTAGTAGTAGTAGTAGTAGTAGTAGTAGTAGTAGTAGTAATTGTAGTAGAAGTAGTAGTAGTAGTAGTAGTAGTAGTCGTAGTAGTAGTAGTAGTAGTAGTAGTAGTAGTAGTGGTAGTAGTAGTA